GGCTCTTCCCGATCGCCGTTTATATAGCGCCGATCGTGGAGCCCGCTCAGACCTGGCCAGGAGCGCTCCGGCTTGCAGGCGGCGCTGCACTCCGGAGCCCGGTGCCGGAGTGACAGCCGCAGGGAGCGCACGGCCCGGGAAGCCGAGACCGCGGGAGCAGCTGCGAGCGGTGGGGCAGCGCTCGCCTGCACGGTGCGAGTCGCCCCTTCCTGGTGTTCCGCTGCCCTGCACCCCCTTCTCCCACCCTGTCTCAACTTGGGTCAAGTTGACAACTCCAGCGGCTGCCGATCGGCCGGTGCGGTGTCCTCCACGCATCTTTCCCCGGGGGTGAGAGGAAACCGCTGCAGCCGGTTTTGGGAGGGGACACTCGGGCAGCAGCGACGGCTCGGCCATGAGGGCAGCGCGCGTCGCCTAACTCGCGGCTGTCACCGCCGCTGCAGTGCAACCGGCCAGCGGGGCGCTCCGGGACAGGCGGGCGACCGCCGGCAGGAGGCGCCGAGCCGGGTGGCTGCCTCGGCGAGCACAGCCCGGGGGCCACCGCACGGAGCTCGGGGCGGGAGTGGCCCCGCGCGCAACCCGGGAGCTGCGCCGCGCACTCCAGCCCCACGGGCACCTCGGAAGCGGGCGCGGGGTGCAACCTTCTGGTCCCAGCCGCTTTGACAAGCGTCCCAGGACTCGCCACAGGGCTGCTTCGGCGCAGGGTGGGTGCAGACCCGGGCTCAGGGCTCGTGCGGGGCCCCCGGCGTCGCGATGAACATCGTGGTGGAGTTCTTCGTGGTCACTTTCAAAGTTCTCTGGGCGTTCGTGCTGGCCGCGGCGCGCTGGCTGGTGCGGCCCAAGGAGAAGAGCGTGGCCGGCCAGGTGTGCCTCATCACCGGCGCGGGCAGCGGCCTGGGCCGCCTCTTTGCTCTGGAGTTCGCCCGGCGCCGGGCGCTGCTGGTGCTCTGGGACATTAACACGCAGAGCAACGAGGAGACGGCGGGCATGGTGCGCCACATCTACCGCGACCTGGAGGCGGCCGATGCCGCCGCGCTGCAAGGTAACTCGCGATCCCGCGCCCGAGCATTGTTGCAATGGGTCAAACCTCTCTCCTCGCCTCCTGTCCCCCCACCCGGGGAGGGCTTTCACACCCCACTGTCACTGGCACCCCAGCTCTCGAGGAAAAGAACGCCCCGCTGGTCTCCTGGAAGGCGAGTGGAATTTGCCCCTTGATTAAAGTACACTATCTCCCCAGTGTTAGACCCAGCTCCAACGGAGATCCTATCACTCTGGGCACATCTCTGGGGTTCCTAAATCCTGAGGTTATTGTGACCACAGACTTGGATTCTAAAGAAATTATCTAGCTCTGACCCGCAGTGGGAGATAGGAAAGTAAAGAATCGCTGGGAAGTTTGTCCCAGGATGGACTGAATGTGTGTCTGTTCTAGTCTAGTCTGCATCCCCTTGGACTAGAGTAGTGTTGGTAATTTAGCTATAACTTTAGCCAGGGGAATATAATTACCTTGTTTCACCAGCCATAGTGTTTTAGACTTACAGACCTTGAGAGATGCGACTGCCCCTTGAGAAAGAACTTGGAGAATTTCAGCTCCATTGTAAACTTCTTCCTTGGTTTTGGTCCCTCCAATCTGCATTTTTTTTGTATACTTATTAACTAGCAGGAATCTGAGACTTTTTCTTAAGCCCAAGTGGAGACTAACCAGTCACCAATATTGGTCCAGGAAATTTGACGATGGCTCTTGCTTTGAGGCTGCATTTTTTATTTTCAGGGAAAATATTGAACTAGGTGAGGATTCCCTTGGACATCACTCCTCCCCACAGCCATCATTTGTTACAAAACTTATTGGCACTTGTCCTTTTGATTTAAGGTGAAAAAATGTTACACTGCTAGCATGAAGAGGCAAAAAAAAAAAAAACAACCCAAAACCCAAAAAGCCTAAAAGACAACACTGTTCATTTTCCAGGGAAGAGATATGGGGTTTTAAGCTGTTTGAGTTCTTGCATGGTAAAAGTGAAGTTGATTTGTGATGATACTTTTTAAGGCTACCCAGTAAGCACATACTAGCAACCTCCACTTTTTCACAAGAAACTTTAGATTCATTAATTGGCCTGGATGAATTCCAATTATTATTTACAGTTTTGATTTGTGAGCCTTAAAGTGATTTTCTGTTTCTATTAAGGGATGTTTCTGGCCTCTCCTCCAAAACAGGAATGTGTAATGTGTGTTATTCTCTGGGCTGAGGTCAGTTCTGTGCAGGTGTCTTTAGCTGCAGCAAGTTGATCCCATGTGGTCTACTTGTATTTGGGCTTGTCACAATGACATGGCTTTCCCCTAAGCAAAGTTCTCCAGTAAATTGCTGTAATTCCCAAAGACTTTGGGGGGGAGGAAGGCAGCTGTAAGTGCAGTTATTGGCAAGCATTATGGTGTTAGAAATTTGAAGCTCACTGTTGAGTTTTTGTTTTGTGTGATCTTTGTCCTACTGATTGCCATGGGACTCACTTTCTGTACCCCTTCTCTGTTCCATTTTCGCCTCATCTGGACTTCTGAGGACAGCTGGAAATGGTGAGGAAGAAATTCTGCCCCACTGTAACCTGCAGGTTTTTACCTACACCTGTGATGTGGGCAAGAGGGAGAATGTCTACCTGACGGCTGAAAGGGTCCGCAAGGAGGTTGGTGAGGTCTCAGTCCTGGTCAATAATGCTGGTGTGGTCTCTGGACATCACCTTCTGGAATGTCCTGATGAGCTCATTGAGAGAACCATGATGGTCAATTGCCACGCTCACTTCTGGGTAAATATAAACATCCTTGTTTTTCATTCTTGGGCCCTCCTCTATGAGAAGGTTGGGAAGGAGAAAGACCTCAGTGCCAGCCTGAAAGGCACCTGCACTCTCTCACCATAGTCTACTAATGAGCTATTCCCCCATGGTGAATTACATCGTATGTCGGTTACCATTAAAACGTTGCTTTCTTCCCCTTCCCCCAATTCAGTGTTTCTTGAGAGACTAGAAGAGTGAACATTGTAAAGTAGTTTGAAAGATTGCCATAAAAATAACAAGAGGGAGTATAAACCCCTGGGTTTGTTTATTTTACTTTTTGTTGAGTTTATAAAACATTGGTTGTTCTTATGAATTCCTAAAGCCAGGGTTTAGGCTTCCAAATTACTATTCAGCCACATTTTAGAAAGTGCCAGAGATTCTGAGATCAGCATTTGTGGTCCACTGGGAGTGGCCAGGCCACCCCAGCAGTTACTTCACATCCACTGACGGTCCACAGGGTGCATGGCATCTTCCTGATTGAGGATATCTCAGAACTTACTCAGCTTATAACGAACCTCTCATGAGAGTAGAAGTCACTTTATTAGGACCACATAGAGGGGAAGGGAGTTTGTGAGAAAAGGTAAGTCAGATGTTAGCATCTAGTCAGGAGAAGCTACCGCATAGTATCTAGGAATGAGAGCAGAGGACTTCTGCTTAGGAGGTGCAAAATAACTCCAACTTATTAGCTTAATTAACTTCAATAAAGATAGATAGGTATTTTCTTATAAATGAACACTGTTGGGTTCCTATAAGCTTTTATCCCTATAATAATTTCCATTTACTTCTATAGACAAGTAGGATCCAATAAAGTAGAGGGGAGAAAGGCTGGATGGCCAAGGTGCAGCTCAGGGGAAGAGTGCTTGCTTGGCATACACAAGACCTGAGTTTAATTGTCAGCAACCAGGGGAAAAGAAGAAAGAAAATTTAAGAAGATATGGTTTTATTTAATTTTTCCATATGTAAATTACTCTTCTAGTAGACCACAACAAAGAACCATTTCTCCTAAATAGGTCACATTAAATCTTATTAATTTTCTAGCAACAGCTTGAAAACTTAGAAGTCTTTATTCAAATTTTGCTTATCCAGTATAATGTTTTTTATGTGATCCTGGAAGAAGCTAATTTTAATGTTTTAGTTTAAAACATTAGCTTTATTGAACTCATTTTTAAACCTCTACAAATGAAATATAAATAACCTGGGCTAATTCACGTCTGTGTTTTAAATGGGTCAGGAGCTCACCAAGCCCAGCTGAGGGAATG